GCTTGATTCTCATTAACATAATGACCCATTTCTAATATTCTGGCACTAGAAAGGGACCTTACTGTGCATGAACATCAAGCCCATGATCTTTACAATCTAGAAGGATGGTTCAGAAGTCTAGAACTCAGGTTCCGTTTCTTGTTCTGCCATCCACACTACTCAGTTAGGTCCAGATCAAGAAGGTAATTTATATGACTAAAGTAGTACTTCGGCATTCAGGCACTTAAGTCCAAGACCACAGCTCTCAAAAACTCTGTCTGAGCCCTTAGATGCCTCAGATTTCACCAGGAAAATTTCCGAAAGGTGCCTAATGTTCAGCTCCAACTCTACTGGGGAAGGGCTATGCAACTCAGTGCCTTTCTCATGGCCAAATCGTTGAGGATCCTCAAATTTAAGCCTTTCCTTACTGTAGTCATCTCAGGGTCCCAACCTATGGACAATGCTAAAACACACCAAAGGAACTGGGCAGCATGTAAAAAACATTTTCATTCAATACCATGATTGGAAAAGAAGGGTGTTGTACATCTGTGTTATACAATAGTATGAAGTGGTCAGTACACTTGTCCTGAAAGTGGAATTCTTGGGCTCAACATCTTCCTCAGCCTTGTGGGATTCAAATATACATCTTTTGCTTCTCTGAAGTGCAGTAACTGCTAAGTGAGATTCCAGTCATTCCTCACCATCCTCTTGCTCTAGAGATGGGGAGCAAGGCTATTTAGTCAAGTGATGGGGTCATGAGAGGACCTAAGATAGATCGGTTGTTAATTAATTTACAAGTTAATTAACAACTTGTAAAAAAACAAGTAATACAGAAAATGTAGCTTAAAGTACTGGTGCTTAACTTACAACCTGCAGGCCGGATGTCATCTGGCCTATGGAACTCCTCATGGGTCTGGAAGATCAGCAGTGGAAGAGTAGTGGCAAGATCAACTGCTGTGGCCACAAGAGCCAAGTCAGTTGACACTGTCACTACATGCTTGCTTCTGAAGTTCCAGACCTTTGGAAAGTCCCATGGGCCAGATGACATACCTGTGTGCACCAGCACAATCTAGTGTGCAGGGCTGGTTTGCTGCTGGATTTGGTGTGCAGAATCAGGCTGTCTGCAGCTGGATCCAATGTGCAACATTGGATGGGGCCAGGCCCATGTGCTGGATCATACCCAGGGACCAGCCCTATGCCATTTGTCTGGCCCATAGGACTGGGTAAGTTGAGTAGCATTGGTGTAAAGTAAAACATTCTGTTTTGTTTCTTATTTAAGGTTTTAAACTTTCAGCTTGGGAAATGTTATTCTTCCCCCCATCAATTTCATGTATTTATATGTTATGGTGTTCCCTATCCCCCATGGTGGCTTTATATAATGCTTTATCAGCTTTCAGAGAAATAACAGACAACCAGATGACTTATAACAATGATTCATATTATTGTTATTCCTCATTATTATTGTTGCCATGTGAGATGATGGTGGATGTGCATTTTTTCCCCTTTAAAAGGAAAAATCTGGCTCACGTTGTAAGTCTTTAAATTGTGTTTATTATACTAATGAAATCATGTTTATTACACTCGTGTTTTTATAGCCCTTTGGTTAACTTGTAAAAAACATTTTTTTGCTCTCATCTAATTATGAACATGCAGGTTTGCCACACCTGATCAGACTCTTGATACTCCAACTTCAATAACTTATCTTGACAGTGGCCAATATTTGATGTTTCAGCATATATCTACATTGCTCCTAACCTCAAATACCTCATCTAATTCTAGGAGGTCCTACATGAGGAGAATGTTCCTTTCTGATTCATAAATCTGAAATATGAGCTTTTATTTTGCTACATTCCTTTTATTTTACTGTGTTCTTTCTGCAGTGGAGTCCAATCTTTGGAGTGGGAATTGTCACTTATTATGCTTCTATAGTAATTAGGGCAATGATATCTCAGCCGTATTTCCCTATGGGTTATACTGCAATAAAAATGTAATAGTAACATGTAACTAATAATAATAGTAGTATTTTATATTGTTACAAAAACACTGAATTTATATAGAATAGCTGATCTGTACTGGATTTCTGATTCCCATTGAAACTACAACTTGAATGCATGTATTTTCCCCAGGTTTTTTTCAATTAATACAAAACAAATTCACAGAAATACCATATTTACTTGTATCCAAAATGAGATTTCCTTCCCCATTTAACACCGGGGGGGAGGGGTGGGGGGAAGCCTCATCTTGTATCTGAGTCCCAGGGCCGGGATCAAGGTGGCTGGAGGCAGTTCCTGAGGTGGAGAAGCAGAGGAGACCGTGTGCTGCAAGGGGGAAGGAGAGCAGGGGAGACTGCACAGCACAGGGTAGGAAGCATGGTGCGGGTGGGAGAACAGGGGACACCATGTGGTGCAGTGCAGTGAGTAGGAGGAAGACTGAGGGCAGCGGGAGATTGTGCAGTCAGAGGAGCTGCTATTGCTCCAGTTGTGGCTCTGTCTCTGACCTGAACAGGGGCTATAGCAGGAGCTGGAGTTGTCACAGGGTAAGTGATGCCAGGGGGGCAAGTGGCCAGGGGCACAGGCACGTTTGGGGTGGGGAGGTGGCAGGAAGGACAGGCACAGAAGAAGACAGAAATTGGGAGGAGGCAAATAGCAGGGAGAGAGCATAGGGCCAGGTGGTGGGGGAGGGGCAAAGGGTGGGAGTCAGGCTATTTGCCCCTGCTGTTGCTTTCGCTGCTGCTTGCACCCCTGCTGCTGCTTCCTTTGCTGCAGTGGTGGTGGGGGTGGGGTACACATTTAAGAAAACACTTCCATAATTAGACTATACATGGAAAAGTGTAACAAATTTAGAATTTTCCATGTACAGAATCTAAGTATTCAGGAGACATCTTAAATTCAAAGTCATCTTGGATTTGGGTAAATACGATAATTGGACTGAAAATCTAGTCTCTGTTCTTCATACTGCTGCTTCCTATGTTATCTCAAAACCAGCAGTCAAGGATGATATAATTGTAAAGTATTTGGAACACGATGGGATTTTGCCTTAGACATGCCAACAGCTGACTCTAGTCTAAAAAAGACTACAGTTTACTGTCTTGTTATGTGATTAACTTACTGCTGACACTGTTATAGATGCAAATAGATTATACAGAAGATCCTGCACTTGTAATTCATTAATTATGGTTACTATATTAGGTTAAATGAAATAACTGGATTTAAATGTTCTAAAATAGGATTAAATCTGTTGGGTTGGCTTCTTTAATCTGTCTGCTTGGTTAGATCTCTTGATCCCATGCCACCAAACCCTGTATACTTTTTAACTGCTGAGGATCAACTTTAAAATGACGGGATCTTATGAGGGCCCCTCAATAACCTGACACCTGTATCAGACAGGGCACAGGATGGTGACAGTTCCTTGCTTTGCTTTCTCTGTCTTTGCACCACTGGAGGAGTCACGTGTGCAAGGGGAATTTTTTTTGCCATTTGTTCCTAGCCAGTTTGCACCCACCCTGTACTAACTGGGCAACGCAAGGAGGGTTTAGTTGATGAGAAGATTCACCTGACTATATCTGGATTAAACAGACAGGATCAAAGACATTTTTCAATGCATTCATGCCTGATATAGAGGGAAAAACCCTACTACAAATGTTTAAACTGGTTTATGCCTAGCTTAAGTGTACTTAATATGTAAACTGTTTTATCTCATACACAATAATATAAAAATGATGTACTAATCATTCTGAATGAAATATGACCTAGTCAAGATGTTATTTTAAATAGAAACAGTTGTCTTTTGTGAATATGAAAATCACTCTCATACAGGTTTTAAAGTTTTAGAAAATTGTATTAAGAATGTTTCTTAATGACTATTATAAAAGCATTACTTAAAACAATTACATCAATTAGTTCAATACAGTTTTTCAACTGAACAACACTATTTTGGCACAATAACAGATTAAGTTGACCGCTTTTCTAATTAATGGAAGATTGGTTCTTTCCAGCAATTACACTCTGATTAGTCCACAGCAAGCAAATTTGCCATTACTGAGCCCCCACTGCTATCAAAAGTTTTTTATTGTTTGCTTTTTATTCCCTCCTTAATCCTAAAAACAAACCAAAACAATGTCCCCTAGTCCCCAGAACTCCTGAGAGAAAGCTGATTTTGGAATTTCAGTAATGCTCTTACTTCCTGGACACATGCAAATCTACTCTGATCCAAGAAGCAATATTTTAGCCAGCAGGGAATCTTCTCAATCAGACATATATATTTTGGCATTTCCAGCTGTATTATTTTGCTCTGCAATGCTTCCTCTAATCTTCTGTAACTGTAATATTATAGAATCATAGGTCGTGTCCACACATGATATGGACATTGGTTCCCTGGGGACAACTAGCTGTGGTGCATCTTGTGCCGCTGCTAGTTGTCCTTGGGGAATGCTTGTGCCACACGTGCTCTGACTCACAGCAAGTTACCCCAAGGGCAGTAGGGGAGGCTTGGGCCAGCACTGGGCTGGCCCCAGCAGCCTTACCTGGGTCCTGGGGCTGTAGCAGCGATGATTCTGCCACATGGAGCCTGGCTGGTAGCTGCAGCGCAGCTCCGAGCAGCCCAGCTCTGCTTTTGAGCAGCGTGTGCTGCCTGTGAGTGCACTGCTCCATTTTTTTTCCTCTGTGGGCTGACCACTGGATATTCAGGGGTCAACAAAACCCTCTGCACTGCTCCCTTTGCTATGCGGAGAACAACCGAACGTGCAGTATGTGGCACCGCAGCCACATACCTCATGGCCACGCTTGTCTGGACGTGGCCATAGAGAAGGGTTGAAAGGGACCTCCAGAGGTGATCTAGTCCAACCCTCTGCCTGAGGCATGATCACACCTATCCAAACCATTTAATACAAATCCATAATCTAAACTCTTAGTAATTTTAGTAGAGGACACAGATTAGTGGGCCCTTGTAGCTAGTATGTACTGTATTCAGTTCTCAGGCTGTGATGGGTGATCACAGATACACTCTTAGTTTGAGGCTATCACCTTGGTTAAGGCACTGAATGGGATTTCTTCTGTCAACATCCAATGTCTTGTTCAGTTCTTGCTCTTTGTCTAAACTTCAAGAGTTACACTACTGGGTGTATGTTGATCAGTAGCTCTGTTAGGATGAAAACACAGGGTGATTACTGCCAAGTGGTATTTATTATGATAGTGTCTTCAGTGTTTTTGCTTCACTTGGCCTTGGGAAGACATTACACTAGGGTTCTGTTTTAGAGTGGATGTTCTTCTTACAAGGGGAATTTCCTGTTAGACCACATACTTCCTTTTCCATAGGTTCCACTATCCAGACTAAAGGCATGAGAAAAAAATAATCATTTGGCACAAAATGCTCCTTAACAGCACATAGAATTTTGTTATTTTCCAATTAGTAGGCTTTCTTCAAGGTGAGATACTATTGGGCTGCACGTAATCATACCACCCTACACAAACAGAACCATTAAACATCAGAAACCAAGAACACATGGAAAATTATAAACTGTACTGTATGAAAGATCTTTCTGGATTGGAAAAATACAAGAAGGCTAGGAAAATATTCATAAAAACAAAAAAGAAATCTTCATCCAAATGTTTAAAACTTTTAACCTTTCTGAACTGGGTTATTGAAAACAGCAAAAACAACAGAAAGAGCCATTTTCCACACTGGTAAAAATGTCACTGAATGTAAAAACCAACAAGCAATGATTTCTAAGGTACCATATATTTAAAAATTATATCCCATTTTTAAAAATGATTTGAGACAACTGGCAGAAGATTTTAAAGAAGACAGCAGGCATACTGCAGCAAAAGTTAAGGTCCCAATCTTTAATCCTTACTCATGCTTCTGAATAACCAGTTACAGGTGGAATAGGACTTCATATGTGAAGTCATGTGTGGCTCTAGCCCATGAGCTTAACGTGTCTGTTTATGGTTTAACTGGGTCATCATTAATTTAAATGCCTATTTTCTTATACCCATATTCCAATTTATTCAATATAACATCAGCTTAATTGCCTATTCAATTCAATCCTTCCAATCATTCTGTAAAGTGCAATTTGGAGTAAGATCTGAAACGAACAATTGCAGCAGTTAATGAACTTCCACGTTTTCTGCATGCTGTGCTTGCACACTGTTATTGTTTATTATATTATTGGGTAATTTTGTGAAAATATTAGTTAGCAATATCGTAAGCCTGAAAAACACAATTCACAGGTTATGGCTGTGACCCTTCAAAAAACGTGAGAAAACAACCTTATTAGGAGATCTACTTTGCAACAGATGTTTGTTTAACTGGAAATCTATAAGAGCAGCTGCCCCTTGCAATGGTACATATTTGCTTCCGAATCCTTCCTCCAAGGCACTATTTAAACATGTTGATGCACTGAACTGAAAATTTTTTCCTTCCATTCCTTCAGGGTTGACAAAACAAAACTCAGGAAATAAATTTATTACTGCAAGGAGCATTACATGGTAAGTGAGATAAATGTTACTTTCTGTATTATTACTTAATAAGAATGTGAGGAACATGTAAGTTCTTATAGAGATCCACAGTTTGATTATATGATTCAGTCAGATTTCTGTTATCAATTAGATTTGTGTTTATGTGGACTCTCCTCATCCATGTTGGGTTTAATAGTAATAAATCTGTCTCTACAGTTTTACTAAAGTGATGTTAAATTTACTTTAAATGGCATCGGTGCCCTATGTTGTACACATGTTGCCCTCCCTTTGATCAGAAGTAGCATGGTCACACCCATTCCACCTTGGGCTAACTAGTTCTGTCATTAAACAGTGCAAGTTAGCCCACCTCTGTCTACACTGCTTCTGCCTGTGGGGTACTGTGGCATGCACAAAGGCTCCAGTACTGGGCACAGTAAGTCTGCAATAAAGGTATGGCCTAATATGGCAAAAAGAAGAAATGGTTGTAGAAAGACCATTGATTCAAGCCAGGTCAAGATCTGAACATATGTTTCCTGTTTCTAAATCCATGGGGTCCAAGATCAGGTGATCCTGCAAGTAAGTTCCAAGATGGCCTGGGTTTTTACATGGTAGCCAGCTGGACTGACTATTGATTAATTTCACCTAAATTATTGAACAGCAACTGTATGGCAATAGTGATTTTTAGTCACTACTGTACTGGGCTAGGTTCAGTGTTGTGATTTATGCCTCCTTATGTGCTCTCTCTGGGATCTGTTTTAGCCATTCTCCTGCCAACCTCTGGAGGGGAATCCCTTTAGTCTATCAACACTGCTCCTTAACTGGCTGATGTTTCCTCATGTAAGCACCACAAGGTGGTCCCTCTTTTGCGGGGCTGAAGTCACACCTACTGCAACAATTTCAGTTCCAAAAGCAAGAAACCAGGCATGACAAAAGGCAGTAGACAAAAGGGGTTGTATTAATGGAGCACAGCTCACATGAGTTTTCACAGGAACTATTCCATTTTTGGTTAATTCTATTTGCCTGCTGCCTTGCTTGTATAACATACATGTAAGCCACTTGGACTCCAGTGAGGTTGTCTGAGTGAGGAAAGAAGATCTGCCCTAATTTAATAATGTTAATAAATACTTCAATAAGAAAAAGGTCTACTTAGCTGAAATTATGTTTTCGAAGCAGAAATTCATAAAGTGAATCTAGCACTTCAGAGAAAAGGAGGCTGTGTCATTCTACTGAAAATGAAGTTGAAATGGAAGGCAAGTCTTGTTCCATTATTTGCTTTGTATCTCTGTCTGCACAGAGATACTAAGGCAGTAAACTGCCAAGTAAAACCATGGGCCCAATTTTTAAGTTCTTATTCAGTCTAAACTGTTGTTATCAGTAGGAGTCCTGCCTTACATAGGTGCACTAACTCTCCCCTTTATCTTTTAGTAAAACAATCATGGTTCTGTGGCTGCTAGCACTTTTCCTCCCTACTGTTTCATTAATCAGAACTTCACACATGAATTTGTTTAAAAGCACCAGTGTGAAATACTGTCTCACAAATGAACTTGTGGTCCGGCTGGGGAAAGTTTCATTTCCTGATGCTGTCTGAACCTCTGGACACATATTTTGAAGGAATTTGCCTTGTCTTGTTAACTTATCAAATGATTCTTCTCCTGCTCTGCAAATCCTTTGACACTCATTTCTGAAATAAGAAATTTTCATTTCTAAAGGGAAAAAAAGGAAAAAAGACAAAACTAAAAAGAGAAATCCAAAAGCTTGATTCATGGCAAAACTCATGTGATTTAGCAGTTATGTAAGGTTCAGGATTTGCTTGTTTTTTCATCAGTATTTTGAAAAATACAGACCATCTCCCATACTTGTAAAAAGCATATACTTAAAACCAAGATTACCAGTAAACATATGCCTTAGACAGTTTCACAAGAGAGTGAACCTATTCATGCTGTGCTGAAGTAGTCACTATGTTCATCCATTTTGGGATGTAGCATGTGTTTTAAATCAGTGCTCCCAAGTCGGTTGAAAGGTAGAGGAGACATGCTCTATTGTTTCAAGATCCCACTGAAATATTTCTGATCTAATCAGGACTTCCCACTATAAAACTCGCCATGATGCATGGTGTATTTTCTAGTCCTGATATACAAAAACTGTGCAGTGCTATTTTGTTACTTAACCACGGTGGTGTGACCATTAGTTAATACTTGCACTGTCTTTACGTGAAGTGCTAAGTAAATGCTGTTGCTATGAAATATTTTTCTTTAAAAAAAAATCTAATTACTTCCTGGCTTTACCCAAACTCCACCCCCTTTACTTTGGATGTGGTTTTAGCAACTGATAGCTCAGAAACAGCTAGATGCTAATGTTTCCTATGATTTGAAAGGTGACATTTCAGACACGGAATGGCAACTGAGGTGGTGGTCCCCTTTTCAGTAGGATGGTCTGCAACCAAGTGGTCTGTCGTAACATCTAAACTCTTGGAGAGTGGCTGTGACCTGTAGGACCTTTCCTCACGTGTAAGCCTACCATAGTAATCCACATCTTTGTCACCTCAGAGCTAGAGCTGGAATGCCCTCCACATGGGGATGCCCAGAAGGAAAGCAGGGCAGCCTCAGCTGTTGTGGTATGTAACTGCTCATCCTCTGCAAGTGGCTGAAGGGTTGTCTCAGCGTGTTGCCTTGCTACGTCATTCTCTGTGCTGGTTGTTTGCCTTGTTGTCAGTGGCTATGACCTTTAGAGCCCATTATGTTTTAAGAGCCACTTACCTGAAGGATTATCTGCGTCCTGTCTCAGGGATTAAGATCGTTGTCCTCAATGATGGTACTTTGTGGAACTGCCAACAGTGTTTTCAGCTGAAGACCCTTGCAGATGAATGTCAGTCCTTTTGCCAGTTTTCCCAAAACCCATCGCTTCCCCGAATTTGGCAAGCTTCACAGCAATGATAGACATGTTTATTTACACCCACTGTTAATTAACCATTCTGGAAAATCTGCTGATTAGGGGTAAAATCCTGGCACCCCTGAAGTCAGTGTCAGAACTCCCACTGATTTCAATGAGGCCAGCATTTTGTATCATTAAACTGATTTTCAAGGAGGGGGACATTTTTTATATTAGTGTTCATACCTGTCACAGTACTTATATGCTGTGACCACAGTGCCACAGGAATACTTGTAGTAACAAAACAGTTTTTTTAGGACTGTTGTTCTAGAAGAACTTTTTGGCATGTTGACTATTCCAATACAAATAACCCCCAAACTAACTCTTGATGAAAACATGAATATGGGGACTTATTAGAAAAATTACTAATTACCAACCCTTCACTGTGATAGCTCTTTTGGAGCGTGTACATTCTACTGTATAAATCATTCTCCAAGGACCGGTGGTACAATAGACTGTACAATTCATTATCGTCTTTCATAGTTTCATAGTAGCCAGGGTCAGGAGGGACCTGAACAGATCATCTAGCATGACCCCCTGCCACAGGCAGGAATGAATGCTGGGTTCACAAGACCCCAGAGAGGTGATCATCCAACCTCCCCTTGAATTTGCCCAAGGTAGGGGCGAGGACCACTTCCCTAGGAAGTTGGTTCCAGATTTTGGCCACCCTAACTGTAAAATATTGCCTCCTGATCTCTAACCTAAACCTATTCTCCATCAGCTTATTACCATTGTTCCTTGTCACCCCAGGTGGTGCTGGGGAGAATGGGCTCTACCTATTGTTTAGAGCAATTTACTATTTAGATGGTATTTCCTATTATTTCTATAAGGCTGCAACTGCTGTCCCTGAATAATCACAGAAGTATTGTAAAGCTGTCTGAAAAAACCTAAAGTCTTAAAACATAAAGTTGCAGTACACATTTTATCTAACATGGTATGTTGTTTCTCTTCTTTCTCTCTTTTTAGTGTTTATTTCTATCTAGTAGTTTTTACTTTTCTAGACTTGATAAACTACTTGTTACTAGAA